TAATATTACCTTGGAAATAGTTTCATTAACATATATTATTGTACTTCTTTTTGTTTTCTGGATTACCAAAGATAGCCACTAACTACGAACAATCAACATACAAATACAACAATGTACTAGCAAGTTGGGCTTGGAGATGAAGAAGAAACTAGTGAAGTGTTACGTATGGAGCAGAGACTTGGACACTCAGGAAGAAGGAACAGAAATACCTGGAGAGTTTTGAAATGTGGTGTTGGAGAAGAATAGAGAAGATCAGGTGGACGGATCGAGTGACCAACGAAGAAGTATTGAGGAGAGTCAACGAGCAAAGATTACACGAAGGAAAGCTAACTGGCAGGGACATATTATGAGAAGGAATGGAATACTGAGTGATATCATCGAAGGCCAGGTTGAAGGAAAGCGAGGACTGGGAAGAAGACTGATACAGCTAACCGACGATCTGAAACAAGGAAAGAAGATGACGTTCCAGGAATTAAAGCAAGAAGCCGAGAATAGGGACAACTGGAGAGCTCTTTTTGGGCAGAGCAATGGACCTGTCGTAAGACAGAACACTTAATAAATAAATAAAAAGAAGTAAATCATCACCCAATATGTACTAACAGAATGTTTCGTGATTAGAATTATGTCCAATGGAAAACTCAGGTATTAATGGTTATGAAACTCCATATTCTGCTACCAGAAGTAGGGTAATTACTTAAGCTAGCTATGAATTTTTTGTACATTTACCTCTTTCTTTTCTCGGCGAATATGGAGATAAACGGCATTACCAGTTTTCCTGTAGTTGCGCTCTACGTAGTCTCGACCAAATCCAAGGAAGCTGTTCAAGCTCACATATAAACCTGTGTCAGTTTCCTAAAATTAAACATTATGTGTGATGAACCATTTAAAAATACTTTTCAATGGGACAAGTCCATATTATACAACATATTAGCATCTCGGCTGCTGGCAGCTAGTCTGTAATGATACGCACACAATGGAAAAGTACAATTATTGTCCACTCACTCCCCATGTAGCAGAACATAAGTAAATATGGCATTAATTACAAAACCATGTTAAGTGGATCGCCTGTCACCATGGCATGACACATCTTCAGGTGAGGAGAAAGGAAAAGGTATCTGTGAATATAATTAAATAAGTAGTCACAAACAGCAGACAAAGAGTGGTCCTCCAGCTTGGGGGTTGGGCAGGAGGCTAATAACTCTCACCATAAACGAACAGTATGCTGAAAAAAATGTTGCACAGAGCCTCGTATGTGGACAGATTCTTTGGAATAACCTAAACCATTAAAATTGGATATGAGATTTGGAATGTTAGAAGTTTCCATAGGTCAGGTTATCTGCAAGGAAAAAAATCACGAGTGGGAGTACAGCTCAGATGGGAATGGAGTAGCAGTCAACCAGCACATGATTATATATTTTTCTATGAAAATGGGATTACTAATCATCACATAGAGACATACTTTCTCTTACACAAGGAGACCATATCAGCAGACAAGAGGATAACAACAGGATGTCATGTATATTATACAAGACCAATGGTGGGATATTATTGTTCTGAATGTGCCTATAGCAACTGATGATAAAAGTTATGACACACAGAACTGTTTTTATAAGGAACTAGAGCAAGCATTTAACCAGTTCCCTAAGTACCACATGAAAATGTTACATTTCAGTGCAAATGTGGAGTGGGCTGTGTTGTGAGTTGTGCATATATTTCAAATTCATATAGTGCCCCACATCCTGTAGTTAGCACAGATGTTCTTACATCATAGCACCAATGTGTCTGAGATTTGAGTCTCTTCCTCAAAGAATTCTACACTCAACCACAAAGTCTGAAGAGATACGTGGCCTCTGTTCTCGAAATCAAGTAGAATATGTCCATTTCTACTACAGAGAATGGAATATTATAACATTAAAGAACTGACACTTGAAAATTGTAAGCAACATTATGAAACTTCAACTAAACAATTCCTTTTATAAATGAGAACTCTTGGAAATTTACCACATAAAGATATGATGGAAAAGAAGAGTTAATTGTAAGTAGTAAAATTAATGTTTCTTAAAACTATTTGAGGTTCGTTTAGATTTCATTGTATAGGTAAATCTTTACTAATTTAGGCACGTTGTATAAAAACAATATAACATGTGAAGTCTGTTTAAGTGATTACTTAATCCCGGGGTTCTGTATTTTAAGCATAAGTAATTCAGGCAAACAGGCATGACAACCGAACAATATCATGGCCATACTAATCAGAACAATATTTATTTGAAAGTGAATTGGATCACTTAACTGGAAGTTATGAAGATCAGTCAGATAATATTCGAAATTACTCAAATATGTTTAATAAAACATATAAGACAAAGTCTTCAGGCTTCTCAAGAAAATGGTGAAATATTCACCATTGGTTAAAAGAGTTTTCTGACAATCTTGATTGGTCATGCCTATTCAAGAAACTATTTACAGATGGGTTTTTGAATTAACTTACAGGAGTGTCGAAACTGAACACACATTCATCTTTGTATATCTTCTGAGAATTTCCAGGAATGTTGATGCTATTTAAGTGCGGCGTTAATAATTCTATGGCACTCATTTCACGATCTTTTATATTTCTCTTCGTGGTGGAAATTTATAAATAGAAACTACCACTTTGATCCGGCAACTTACAATTCATCAACAACATGGCATGATCAGCAAGTTCATCTTATAACCATAAGATCGCACCAATTTCTTCTGAGAAGGATCGAGAACTAGATGTCGATTTTCTATCGAAGTTTAACTCTCGTATCAAAGAAATGGTATCGAAACGTATTGCTGTAATTATGTGACATCTGGTGGTTAGAATGTAAATTGCGTTAACCAAGTAATGCGTATTATTATGCTGTGCTAAAACACAATGTTGGAAATAAAAATAGAAGGACAAATCGCGTATATTTATGAAATACGTATGCGAGAAAGACTCCTCTGAAAGGTACCTTCTTTCCTGTTATACATGCAGGTGATAGTACTTTCTACTGTTGTGTTAAACATTTTTGAAAGCAGTAAAAAACAAAAAGAAATCGTTCATGCTACGTCCTTGTGAAACAAAAAAACCGTCCTGCAAAGGTAACAAAGTAGCTTAAAATTAATAAATATTTTCTGCTAAACGTTATAATGAAGATTGTACTTGTCTCTGTTTGTTCTAATATTAACGCCTTTTTATACATATTTTATTTAACAATTTCATACAAAGAAACAATTGTATATAAAAAGTAGCATCGCATTCTGTGTGTTACCCATTTAAAAACTTTCCACGAATGGGGGAACTGTTTATTCCGTTGTTTACAGAACAATTACATTTTTAATAAGTCAGTGTTGAGATCGACATATATTTAACTTGTGTGAAGTCCTTGTGTTCTGAAAATACCCTTGTGCTGGCTCATGGCTTGATGAGTCATCGTGACGTCACTCTATACAGTGATGACGTAAGACTGGTCGGCATGTGATCGAAACGTTATACATAAATTACGTCACGCTTCAAGGGATGGTTCGGGATGCCTTTAGGGTCCAGCCCATTAAAATTAAAGTAGCACTGTTGTGGCCTTTTTTATATAAGTGATGTGTTTGTGTAGAACGTTCATTTCTGTTGCATAAATATCCAGTTTCTACTACACTATTTTTTCAGAAAATTTAAAAGTTTTGGAAAAGTCTCCGAAGGTAAAACATGGTTGTATAAAGAGTAAATATGTACAGATGCAGATCGTTTCCAGCTTCTTTCTTTATTTTTTCCTTTCTGAAATGTGCAGTGTAATCTTAACACTGGTACTAGGGATGTCCGGGTTAAATTCTCGAAGCAGATACCGGTTTACCTCAGTTTTGTCATGATCTTTCTATACCAACAAGGAAAAGTCTATGTCATATCTAAAAATTGGTTACTACAGCTTCCTTCCACATTTTATCAATTCATCACACTGGTAGTGTCTATCCAGTGCCGCACAAAGTATTGAACTAATAATGTACACATTTTATTTAACACAGTTTTTAAGCACGATTTCGAAATGTCACATAACAATGAAACATCTGTGAAGTTGGGTACGGAAAAGCTATCTTTCCCAGTTTTTGTTAGAATAATTACATTCATATTATATTTTTTTTAATTTTGTGTTTTATAGAAAGTGATGTCTGCGTGGCGCGCTGTTTCACTGTCATAGACGTAGATAAACACGCGACATGCCTCAAGATATTTACTTTTCTCGCCCTTGTATTTGTAGATTCGTCAATTGTGACATCATGGTTCAAGTGCTTTTAAAAATTCGAGATGACTTACCTACCTACGCGTTTTGGGGTGCATCGCGCGAGCAGCGTATATTTAACCGTATTCAAAGACGTCCCTAGATAATCTGTTCAATATTTCAACTTATCAACACTATCAAATAACACGCGCCATCTGGTGCTGATATTTCGGCTACAGTTCTTATGCAGAGGGATATTTTTTACGAATCATAACAGGTTTTTGGGATCAGAGAGCGAAAACCAGAAGCTAATTTCTTACCGTTGAAATTCCATCCCATACGTCCCAAACACAAGCCAGACGCCATCGAAACCAGCCCTTCCTCGTTCAACGCGTTACGTGTCAGAGCAGGGAGTACATTTTCGGTATTTGTGTTCCTGACTGATGGATGGAAAGCTGTCGGAGTTACACGACGTCAGCAGTTTGGCCGTGAACAGCCTCCACTGTTGTTTGCTAGTTATAGCATACACAGGCTTTGTAAGGTGTGTGCATTTCTGTTATTGTTAAAGTATTACATTCGAAGTACTTTACGTGTACACTTCTCCGGATTTTCCAGTAGTAGCTCGTTGCTGAATGTAGTAGTATAATGAAATGATGGGTTATTTCCTTGTTGCTCGGACTGTATCTTCTGCAAACCCTATCAATTTACGTCACCCGTAAACATCAGAAGACCGTGAAACCGGCGTATACATACGTTCGTTAGAGAAGTTATAACAGCAGTAAACTAGAGCATAATATTCTTCATAGGAGAAATAAATCGTTGAATCATGAGAATTACTGAAGGGGAATTTGCTTTAACCGTTGATTTATCTTGTGTTCGCAAGAGACCGCCACCGGTCCCCTTCATGAACCCAGTCCATTTTTCTTTTCTCCCATCTATTCCAACGTCTTCCCTCGAGTTTGTCATCTTTGTGATTTTTGATGAATGTTGAAAGTTTCTCCAGCTTCCGGTCACTTCACCTGTTCCAAACACCTGTGCTCAGCCGTCGTCAGTCTGTGGGATTTGAGGTTCTCAGGAGGGTGGAGTTTATACTGTTTTGGGTTGTGACGCTATAAAAGGCCTCGTTTCACGTCCGTAACCCTTGCAGATAGTACAAGGAGATCAGCGCTGTTCTGTGGAACCAGTTAACAACAACGAAAGAAACTCGCTTTCTTCAAGGCCAAAAAAAATCTCGTCTTTATCACGCGCTGCTTGTCAGCTTCATGCAGGAACGTGTGTGTTAATACAAACATCGCTGTGGGGATCTTTGAGTCAGGATTTGTACTTTGTTGCTCTTATTATTTGAATGCGCAAGTCAGTGAGTGATAGATGACTGATAAATATGTTCTGTGGACTTGCACACTTGTTCGATCAGCGTGCAGTTGGGGGGGACATCTTGTAGCCCACTCTGTGGTCAAGTCTCAAAACACCAACTCTACGGATACTGTGGTTAGCTTGCATTTGATACG